GATAGCCAGGATTCCAGAGAGAACCTGTCTTGTATCAACAACAAAAATAATTATACCCATAAGGATAAGAAAAAAATAGCAGATGAAAATTTTTAAGATCAGAAATTGAAAATTGCAGGATAAAGTAGATGTGACTCAGAAGTGGAGTATGGCTCAGGAGTAGGAGAACACTGGAGGTCCTGCCATCAATGTCTAGCACAAAAAGTAAAAAGAAATAAAATATTTTTACTGAGTTCTCTTTCTCTTCAACTATTTGGCCAACAAACACCAACACGCAGATCTTTGGCAAAGCCCTGAAGGGGAAGATCACTACTGTCAAGGTTGAACCCAGTCACTTCATGGAGAATGGCAAGGTGATGATCCAAGACAAGGGAGGCATCCCACCTGACCAGCAGCAGCTGGAAATTGCTGCCAGCAGATAGAGCATGGCTGTAGCGGTAACTCCCGCATTACCGATACCCATTTACCATGTCTGAGCTAAGGGCTGCGGATTAAAAATAGAGACAAGAGACAGTGAGTCATTCGCCACGACTGGATGTGGAACGCCGTTTATTGAAAGAGGGAAGAAACCTTAAATACAGGCTTACAGTACAAATGGAGGAACCCCCGGAGGGCAGAAGTTCACTACCAATGGTCTACATTCTAGACCCAATGTTCTACATTCTTGCATCTAAGTTGTTAATGCCCAAAATGCAGGATACACAAACAAGGAACTTCCCTTAAGCATTCAGAAGGGTGGATACCGGCAGGGAATCTGAATAGGGAGGACGTCTGATCAAGGTCAGCAAGCAAGGCCGCAGCCACTCACAGTCGGGGGCCAGGGCCCATGGCGCCCACACATGGCTGCACCCTAGACAATGGCAAAGTCCAGAAAGAGTCCAACTCTGCACCTGGTGCTGTCCCTTGGTGATGACATCATAGAGCCATCCCTGTGTCTGTTTCTGCAGAAGTACTGCTGTGACAAGACCATGCACAGCTGCCCAAGTGCTGCCCACACCTGCACCTTGTGCAGTCAAATGCCTCAAGAAGAAGGGTGGCCACATAGACAGCCTGCGCCCCAAGAAAGTCAAATAAAATGGGTACTTGTTTGGCTTAGGACGCCTGAGATCTGGTGATTTTTTTAACTGAAGCAGAAGGACAAAGGAGTGATGATGCTAAGATTGGACCTAGTAACACAGATCAGTGTGTAAGTGCTACTGCCAACCTTCAACCCTGACTCTGATCCGTACTGTGTAATGAGAAAACTGCCTCCTGTACTTGTCCTCTGACCTTCCTGTGTGTGCTGTGGCACATGTGAATGCACACACATATAAAGAAAAAAGTAAATGTGATCTAAAGAAATAAGTGTAAATTAAAAATAAGTGTAATTTAAAGTTGTAATGGAAAGTACACATATCAAAAACGAACAAACAACCAGAAATAGTGGTGCACATTTATACCAAGCACTTGAGACATTGAGGAAGAGGATTATATTTTACTCCATAAAGATGTACACAATGAGAGTCTTCACACAAACCTTCAAACATCTGAATATGTGTAGATATTTCAAATAAAAAGTGAAAGTGTATAAAGCAAACTCACACGCAAATTTATATTTCTTTTTTTTTTTTTTTGAGGATAGGACTTCTTGTGTAGTTTTGTTGCCTGTCCTAGATCTTGCTCTGTAGACCAGACTGGGCTCGAACTCAGAGAGATCCACTTGGCTCTGCCTCCTGAGTTCTGGGATTAAAGGCTTGCACCACCACCTGGCTAAATTTATATTTCTTATGTGTAATAGTCATACATGTCTGATACCATCTGGCCCTGACAAAGATTAGGACAAAAGGAGACAGAAAATTATGGGGTTATGGAAATGTCATCCATCAAAGAATTGATTGCAGAGTCTACTGCCTGACCTAGCCACAGCCTTGGGGAAGTCAGAGCCTGGGTCCTGAGGAGGGCACTTCCCCTTCCTGTTGGGCTGCTAGAGTACAACCATGTCATGGGGATTGCCCAGCCTCCAGAGACCACACCCTGTGTCTCCTGTCCATCCAGACAGTCTCTGTAGCTCTGCCCATGAGCACAGTTGCAGCCTCCAGGAGGAGATGCCATGACCTTCACCTTCACAGTCCTGCTCTGTCTGGGTGAGATGTGGAGATGGGGAGGGGATACTGTGGTCTAGGGTTGATGCTGCCCCACAGCCCAGCACTGGTCCCATCAGGAAACCCCAGGGTCTCAGGAGGTTCTGCAGAGGGGAGGACCTGCTCAAGCTTCAGGGACAAACCTCTCACAGGGAACTCTCTTCCAGGACTGACTGTGAGCGTCAGAATCCCAGTGCTGGCAGGTGAGTGAGTGTCTGCAGATGTCCTGACCTTCACCTCTGAACAATCCTGGAGCCATGCCTGGGCAGTGAGGATGGAGATCAACACATGTGTGCTGCCCCTGGGGATGGCTGGATGGCTGGGGTTGAGGACTACAATTGGATGATGGCTGTCCTGAGTTCTGGCTGCTCTTTTTCTTTGTAGAGGCCCTCCCTAAGCCTGTCCTCACAGTTCAGCCAGACTCTGTGGTCTACAAGCAGACTACAGTGACCTTCTTGTGTAAGGGGACCAGAGTAGCCAAACAATACATACTGTATAAAGAGGGACTCCAGTTTCTACGGAGCACAGAGAGTCCACAGAAGCCTAAGAACAAGGCAGAATTCTCAATCCCAAAAGTAGACGACAAGCAAGCAGGGCAATATCAATGTCGATATCAGACTCAAGATGGATGGTCAGAGTTCAGTGACTCCCTGGAGCTGGTGGTGACAGGTGAGAGGACACACAGACTCCCCAGCCTTAGCCTTGACTGTCAAGAATTGGTTCTGTTCACAGGGCTAACCCCACCTAGAGCCAAGCAGGATAGTGAGGTCTGATAGATTTAACTGATTTCTCCTTCTCTCCTAGGAGCACACAGTAAACCCAGCCTGTCAGCCCAGCCCAGCCCTGTGGTAACTGAGGGAGGACATGTAACCCTCCAGTGTGTCTCAAAATAACGATACCACAGGTTCATTCTGACTGGGAAAGGAACACGGAATATCTCACAAATGCTGGATTCAGAGTATGACTATTCTACTCAGCACTACAAGGCCCTGTACTCTGTGGGCCCTGTGACCTCCAGCCAAAGGTGGACATTTCAATGCTACAGCAATTATTGGAGAAGCCCATTGGTATGGTCAGAACCTAGTGACTGTCTGGAGCTCCTGTTCTCAGGTGAGGAACCTCAGTCTTTCTCTAGAATGATGTTGAAATGATACACATCCTCAGAGAGGCCTTGGTGAGTAGTGTGGGGTGTGTGATATATGTGAGCAGTCAGGGCTCCTTAGGCCATTGACACAGAGCATGGTAGAGAGTGTGGGACACAAGACACAGAATCCAAGGCAGACAATAACAGCAAAGCACAGGAGGTCCAGGACAGAGATGAATCCTTATGATACCTTCTGTTACTCTGGATCAGCTCATGTACCACCCACAAGAGCTTGGAAAATCCACAGAAGAGAGGGAGGAAGGGTTGTAGGAGCCAGAATGGTTGAGGACACCAGGAGAATCTACTAAGCAGGGATCATGAGGGCTCACAGAGTTGAAGCAGCAGCCATGGAGCCTGTATGTGTCTGCCACAGACCCTCGGCACACATGCTGTGATGGTTTACCCTAGGTTATATTTTTTTTTGTTTTATTTTTTAGAGTTTCACTGTGTAGCCCTGTCTTTCCTGGATCTCACTCTGTAGACCAGGCTGGCCTTGAACGCACAGAGATCTCCCTGCATCTGTCTCCTGAGTGGTGGGATTCAAGGCGTGTGCCACCATGGCCTGGCTAGCTTGGTGTTTTTGTTAGATTCATAGCAATGGGAATGCGAAATCTCTGAATCCATTGCTACATATAGGATATTTTTCCTCCTATTGGATTGATTTGTGCAGCAATTACATGAGGGTGTGTGACTAGTCTTATTGAATGTTGTTATGCCATGTTTGGTTAATAGTACTGAGAAGCCTCTTCTCCTCTAAAGGGAAACAGAGGAGCAGTTGATTTGGGGGAGAGAGTGGAGGCAAGGAGGCTGCTGTCAGGATGCATTGTATGACAGCAGAATAAATTAAGAATAAATAAATTTGCAACCCACAAGTGAGACTTTCTCCACACCATTGTCAGATACACCCACCTCCTCTATCCTTCTTCCTAGCAGGGATCCTCCACAAACCGACCATCAAAGCTGTGCCAGGCTCTGCGGTTACCCCAGGAACTTCCATGACAATTTGGTGTCAGGAGGCCCTGGATGCAGAAATGTATGTTCTGCATAAAGAAGGAAGCCAAAATTCCTGGTGCACACAGACCCGAAAGAAGCCTGAGAACAAGGCCAAGTTCTCCATCCCTTCTGTGACACAGTAACATGGGGGACAATAAAAACCAGCTCCTCAAACACTGCCTGTCACCTTCCCTCTAGGCCTCTCCAAGAAGCCCTCCTTGCTGACTCACCAAGGCCAGATCCTGGACCCTGGGAAGAGCCTCACCCTGCAGTGTTGCTCTGACATCAACTATGAGAGATTTGCTCTGTACAAGTTGGGAGGAGCTGACTTCACACAGCATGATGGCCAATGGACCCGGGCTGGCCTCTCCTTGGCCAACTTCACACTGGGCCCTGTGACCCCCTTTACTGGAGGCCAATACAGATGCTATGGTGCACAAAACCTCCCCTCCGAGTGGTCAGCCTCCAGTGATCCCCTGGACATCCTGATCACAGGTGAGTAACTAAATAGATTCCCTCTGGTACCTAACCTCTGCTTGGGCACACATGGGGGAGTTAAAGGGGTGATGGCTGGGATGAGGGGCAGGGATCTTATTCAGAAACAGATGTAGAGGCAGGAGAACAGGACAGGGGCTAAGTCAGAGAAAAGAGACAGAGTCCAAGGTACTCAGGGCAGACCCAGGTGAGGTGTCATCTCAGAACAATGAAGGCAGCCTCTCACCACCCCTCTTCTATTTAGGACAGCTTCCCTTCAGTCCTTCCCTCTCAGTGAAACCTAACTCCACAGTACACTCAGGAGACAATGTGACCCTGCTGTGTCAGTCAACAGACCAGGTGGACACTTTCATTCTTTCTAAGGAGGGAGCAGCCCAACAACCCCAGCCACTAAAATCAAAGTTTCAAGTTCAGGAGTTCCAGGCAGAATTCTCCATGAGTGCTGTGACCTCTGACATCTCAGGCACCTACAGGTGCTATGGTTCTAGGCACTCATCTTCCTACCTGCTGACACAAGCCAGAGCCCCTGTGGAGCTCACTGTCACAGGTGAGGTGACCCTGAACTCTCAGCGTGACTTACAATCCAAACCCTAGGAGACCCCTTGACTTGGTTGGGATTAAGGGGACAATAGGAAGGTTAGTCAGAAGGCAATTTCCCTGCCAGAGAAGTGGAAGCCAGAAGCAGTCATTCTCATAATGTCCACTCCATCCTTTATTGCAATCTAGGTTTCAGGTAGACAGCATGAGGATCTTGGAGAGGTTACAGGATAGTGAGCAGAGACAGGCCCCTAGGTTGGCATCTAACCCTCATCCCCTCTTGTTCTGTTTCCTAAAACCAATTGGAGCCACCAGCCCACCACCCTCAAGACCTATGCCAACAGCTGGTGAGTATCAGGCACCTCAGTGCAGAGGGTATGCTCCATCTCCAGGCTGCCTCACAGCTCTCAGCTCACTGAAGTCCTCATTTCTCTGACAGTTTAGTTTGTGAGTAAGGGAAGCAAATAGAGATCCCAAAAAAGTTCGCAAAGACCCAGGACTTAGAGGTTGGGATACAGAAGGTGGCATCCAGAGAGAGATAGATGTTCTGGCTTTGTCTGGAGGATGGGGCAGGTCGGTGATATGGAGGGCAGGGATCCCAGATATTTGCCTCCCCATCCTGCCTCTAAGGCCCTGAGAACAAATCTCTCTCAACTGCATGGAGTCAGGCCCAAGAAGGATAATAAGGACTCTGTTGGAAGGTGGGACCCAGATGGGCAAAAGCTAGTTATAGGCTTGATACAGCTGCTTCAGGAGATGCTGACTTGGACCAGCCTTTCCCTTTCTGGATTGGTTGCTGTTTCTCTGAATAAAAAGAGGAGAAGCATGGCCCACATGTCTAAATTTCTTTCAGTGCTGGCCATGGCTGTGACCTCTCCTGACAGAGGAGACCCCAGAACCTAATTCCTCAGTGGGTCTGTCCCACAGTGGTGGTGATGTGTGGAAAGTGGGGCAGAGGGCCATGGCAGGCCATTGAGACTCCTCTGCTCCAGTCAGGAGGCTCTGCTCTGGTGGAGAGAAGAGATGGAACTAAGAGGCCCTGGGTTCAACTCCCAGCTCTGCCACTTCCAGTCAGGTGATCTGAGGCTGGTGAACTGTGGAGACAGAAAAAAAAGAGACATTTCATCCTTACATAAGATTGTGAGGAGGGCAGATGATGAGTGCAAAGACCCAGCACGGATCTGTCACTGAGCTGTAGGTACTCAGTTAAGCAGCAACATTCGCCACTCATGACGTCACTTGTGTCTCAGGACTGGAAGGGTACCTGAAGGCTCTGGTCGGAGTCTCTGTGGCCTTCCTCCTGTTCCTCTTCATCCTCATCTTCCTCCTTCTACGACGAAGGCATCAGGGAAAATTCAGGAAAGATGGTGAGTAAGGTGTGGGTGACCTGAGTCTCAGCTGGTGGTAGGTTCCCCTGTGAATATCCAAACAGGGGATCAGAACACCAGTCCCAGGGAACTGTCAAACGGGCTGGGTAGTTTAGAAACACTTGCTGATCTCAGATCAGAAAGAACATGATCTCAGAACCTGTGCAATGTCAGTGGTTCTGTGAGCTTCACCATGTCCTGGGACATTTGCTCACTCACCCATGTTGTAAAGGATCCTTCCTTCCTTCCTTCCCTGTACATGCCTGGAGGGAGGGGAAAGCTGAGACTCTTCTCTCTCTTGCAGCCCAGAAAGATACAGAACTGCAACTTCCCACAGGAGCTGTAGAGCCAGTAACCAGAGACAGAAGCTCCCAGAAGAGGTAACTCATGACCAGAGACATAGACCCCACCTTCCTGACACACCTCACTGACAACTGACATCTTCTTGTCTCTCCAGATGCAATCCAGCTGCTTCCACCCAGGAAGAAATCCTTTGTGAGATAAAGAGGGTCCTGGGGAGGGAGATGTCTGAGGACTCAGCATTGCAGGGGTGGTGGAGAGGCTCTGGGGTCTTTGCTATTTGGGTCTGAACTTCTCACTATGGACCCTGGATATCACAACACTCCCTGATTCTCTGTCCACACCTGGGGCAATACAGAAAACTAAGGGTCAGAGTCATCCCTAGACTCTGGTCAGGAGACATTCTGTTTGTTCTTCTGACAGACACTTCAGCAGAGGACACACAGCCTGAGGATGATGCCAAGCTGGACAGCTGGGTGAGGTTTCTGTCCCTATCTGCAGTGCTAAGAACTTAGGGCCCAGTTTAGTCCAGGTGATGCCTTGTTTTGTTCTCCATCCCTTGGCCATCAGAAGCAACCACAGCTGACCCTTACCTCTTTTCTGCAAGTAAAACCTACCTCACTCTCTCCTGGTATTCCCTGGATCATGTGTCTCATCGATACTATCCCCTTTCTGGCACCGTGGCATCTGTCTGATTGTCTTCTGAGTGGCAGCCTGGAAGGGAAAGCCCACAAAAACATTTATGGAACTAGCAGCTGCAGGCAGGAACCAAAGGGAGTGGGCAGAAATGTGGGGTTTTGTATTGTGTGTGTGGATGTTTTACAAGCATGTATGTCTCTGCACCACATGCCTGCATGGTGTTCCAGGGGCCAGAAGAGAATGCCATATACCCTGGAATGAGAGTTACATATGAATGCAGGTTGCCTTGTGGGTTCTTGGAATCAAACCTGGATCTTCTGTAGTAGAAGCCATTGCTCTTAACCACAGAGCCATCTCTCCAGCCCCCAGAAATGTGTTTTCAGGAAGATGAACTCTGTGAATACAGGAAAGACAGTGAGGTTTAGAATGTCAAGATAAGAGGTCAGAACTGTAGGAAGGAAGCCCCAGAAGATCCCATCAGGGATGCTGTCATCTAAATGGGTCACTCTAGCCTC